CACTCTGGTGTTGCTGCGCTTGGAGTGGCTCGGCGTCTCAAATGGAGCTGAGGAGAGTGACGGGACAATATATGTCGTGGATGATCCGCCATGAATTGATGCCACGAGGCGAGCTCAGTACTGAGGATAGTTAGTAAATACCTTTTGGTGGATTGTAGACCATCCAACCGCGCGCCCAATGGATCAGCAGGAATGCAACGAAGCAGACGAGAGACATCGATGATTTAGAAAAAGTTCACCTTATGCCAACACTATTGATCGTCTAGCAGGGGGCAAGCCAGTGGACAGAGGCTTTTAGACGAAGCCTCTTTCTTAGATCAGTGTGAAATGGGGGCACGGCCGATCCCACCCAATAACTGGTTTTGGTACGTTATTAAATAACGTAATGTTTCCTCTAATGCTGGTATTCGTTGTAATGATATTCTGTATATGCGTGCAGGACCTCACGTTGTTCCTGCGGGACTATCACCACCATGTCGTCCCATCACGTGTTCCAGTACTCACTGTAGGGACCTCACATCAAGCTCTATTTTTATTAACGACTCTTTGAGAGTCTCTTTATTTGTGCACCTCTCCCCTATTCTTCTTCGAAGTCCCCTTTACGTTGGCATAGCGACCCCCAATCAACAGCTAGTACACTGCAAGGCCGTATGAGGACAGAAATACCCTTCAAGAGGGCATAGCGATGTGAGTGAACTTCATTGAAGTACAATGAATGTATGAACATGCAACATGTTACATGTTGTTGAGTCGTGTTGGACTGTGGTTGTCGTAGCTTTGACGGTCATGACAGTAGAGTTGTGTTGGTTGGAAAAGATAGTTCGAAGAAAAGCCGAGCTTACGGCTATCGCCCGTCACGTGAGATGGTGATGTGACGTGGCTCCACGTCGTGGAGTATTTATGGGGCGTCTCTCGGGGCTTCCGGCGGAAGTAGAGTCGTTGGCCATCAATTAATACCGTCATTATTTGTCATAAGTTGGACCCCGTTTGGATGCGGAAGAATGCATCCGGAACATCCATCAACTTCAAAGTGCCATACCCTCTTGTAGGGACGAGAATAGAATTCGATGGATCCTGTCGAACAGGACAGGCCTTGAGGTGTGGCGCGGTCTCATCGTTGGGCTTCCTAAGGGGGAGTACGGGCCGTGCCCTCTTCGGTCCTCGTACACCGTAATATGTAGTGATGAGGTACATAAAGCCGTCGTCGTCAACCACTAGGCGGTTGGCAGCTGCCTTGCTCAGTTTTGGCTGGATGCCTCCAAATATGAAAGTGAAACATGGAGGGATACCATTATGAACGATTTTCTTTCTGTTGATGTATAGCATTAGATCAGGAGCGCAGTTATAGATATACTCCCCGAGTAAAAGTTGGCATTTTGAGGCGCAATTTTAACACGTGTATGCTAAGAATATGTGGAGAAAACGTTCTACCGGTCTCCGACTTCTCACTAACTACGAAGAGTTAGGCCCTGAAACTTGGAGGTCATATCGGGTAAAGCATAAGTACATACCTCCCTGAGCCGCAAGATGGTACTCGTTGTGGTGGCTGTGCACGAGTCGAAAAAGCGGTTATGCTAAGAATATGTGGAGGGGTGTATTGCACGAGCGAACCGAATTCGGGGCCACCAGGGCTTGGGCTGCTCGAGAGTGATCCAAACTCAGTCTTGAGGCGGAGTTAACGTGAGAGTCTCTCACTGAGAGAGGTCGCTTGTAAATGAAGGCCCAAAATCATCACGAAAGCTACACTGCTCGACAAAAGCCAATAGTGCATTGTTTCCAATTGAGAAAGCTCCACAGTTTCGTTCTGACTTCATCATCACGCTGTTGGCTGATGCGCAGTCGTTTGAGTCGATTCCAGTTGTCGCAGATTTGTGAGCCTGTCGACTTATTCCGGCTAGCGTTGGGGTTTAGTAGAATTAAGAAGCACCTATGGTTTGTTATGATTCATGACCATCCTTGTCTTCGCACTTCCATATCCGCTACATACAGTGAAGATGTTTCGTATAGTGTACAATGTGCACTGTACTTCCTGCATATACGGTATCGTCTGAACTACCACGTCCGCAATATCCCGCATGGAAATTTGGGTTAATGTAATCAGTACTTCTTTGCCACAGTTGGATGGATTGCGGGTGTGGGGATCCTATGAGACTGTATCCGCTGTGTATTGTATACACTGTCAAGGCTGGATTTTCGTAGGTGTTATCTGTTGAGTCTTTTGTATGAATTCCAAGGATAGCATAAAGCAATACGCGGGCTATCATGCCGATTCAACATCAACCTACGGTCCGGAGCTCACGACGCTGAGAGGTGTTGAGATGCGTAAAATCAGTCGAAACTGGAGTTTGTTTCGAGGCGCGGAAGGTTCGGACGAGACTTTTGATCTATCTAAGCCTGTCGATGAGTTGGATGTGTTCTTGAGCCACTCTTGGTCCGGTAGCCCTTTTTGGAAGCACGTTACACTTATCACTGTGTTGTATGTCAAGATTGGTTATATTATTATGCTAGTCACAGTTATCGCATTGTCATTTGGGGTTTATTTTTTACCATCTCGTCAGAG